GCTACCCTGGAGTTGTCCTCATAGCTGGTGCTGGTTTCCTCTTCTGGCCTCTCCTGTTGGCCTCCCTAGGGTTTCCTATTGAGGTCCCTCAGCTCAGGAACCCTTTCTTACCTGAAGGCTCACAACAGCTCTGCCTGCAAACACTCTTAACAATGAATTTGGGGATAATAATCTACAGGTGGATCTTTTAGAGACCCATCCAAGCCCTAGCTCATCCTGCATTTTCTGTAGTGTAGGTCCACTAGTGAGAAATTCTCTGTCCTTGCTTACCTGAGCATTTTTCATGTCATTCTCAGCTTGGTGGAGTTTTCTTTTTCACAAAAAATCCTGGGTTTCAACTTTTATTTCAGTGGTTTGAAGATGTTGTCCCATTGTCCCCTGAGTCTCTTCTCCCTCTGCAGAGAGTCTGCTGTCATCTTTGTTCCTTTACTTGAGTAACTTTACTTGAGACCTTTGAAGGTCTCTTCCTCCCACTGCTTTCAGCATGTCCTTATTTTTGGTTTTCACCACCTTAATTACTGGGTGTTGTATCTCCTAGATATTCCCACTGGATGGTTAAGGAGGGCTGCTTTCAGCAGGTACCTAGGGTCAGCATGCAGAAGATTCATTTCTTGCAAATCCAATCCTGCCTCTTTCAACTGAGCATTTCTTCAGGTTTCTTTCTAGACATGTTATATCCCAAAAGCTTCCTTTCTGTCAAGATTGGCACTGAAGGTGAAATAAGAAGATGTGGACCTTTTATGAAGTGGTTTTGGAAGCTTTCCAAATGTGCACTCTGTGATTTGTAAGCAAAATTCAGGGAGGGCAGATGGTGGTGATGAAGATATAGACACACATCCTTTCTCTGGCTCAGGGGAAAGACAAAGGGATGGCCTCTGACAAGTGGCTGTGTCCCCTCACCTTGCCTTATCCAAAGAGGTAGCCAATAACCCAGTGCCCAGCTCCGAGCTTCTCTCCTCTAGGTCCTAAGTGACCTGACCTGATGTGGACAGCTCTAGTTCTAAGTGACGATGGTTCTGGTCTTGCTGGTGCTTTCTTGGCTGGATGTTGGACAAGCCCAAGGACAGCCAGGTCCTCAGAGCCTGCCAACCTGCCCAGACTTCCCACTGTGCCTCTGTGAACCTCCTTTAGATTCCCAGGTTACCTGACTATGTGCTTGGTCTAGTCTTCCTCCTTGGAGCTGTCTCCATCCAGGAGGAGCAGAGCTGTGTCTCACCCCAGTTCCTAACTAAGAGGTTTCTTCTGGATGGGGATCCAGGGCCCCCCATGAGAAGGATCCAAACCACCATCCTTCCTGCCATAGGGACAAGGAGTCTCTGTGCCCTTTCACATGTCTGTCCACTCTCTGACTCCAGCTCTGAGCTATAGATCTGCATGATGAGTGCACTTGGTAGACTCACTGCATTCACCCTCTGTGTTCCTGACCACCTGAGAAGTGCAAACTCTGATTATTTGAGGACCATCCATACATTGGAAGAAAAGATGGCTCCTAGATTTGGAGTTTCACAAAAGTAAGTCAGGGAGTGAGATGGAGCAAGACAGAGTCCACACAGAGCCAGGATAGGGCTGGCAGGTTGCCAGGTGTGGCAGGGGATTGAGGAACAGCTAATTAGTCAAGAAACTGAGGGACAAACCCAAACAGGAACAGAAACAACAGAAAAGTCAGCCTGGGGACAGGACAGAGGAAGCAAAACAAGGAAGGCACAGCTGTGGTGTGTGTTTGGACACCTGGTCTGGGTATAAAAGCTTCATGACCAGAAGCCCCAGACATCACCATCCTCCTGCCAACACCCGCCACCTCTCCACCATGTGCCACACCAGCTGCTCCTCAGGCTGCCAGCCAGCCTACTGTGTGTCCATCCCCAGCCAGGCCACCTGCTGTATGTCCAGCCCAAGCCACCCATCTTGCTTTGTGCCCTCGAGCTGCAGTCCTGCTGTGTTCATTCCTGTGAGATTCCAGGCAGCCTGTGGTGTGCCTGTGAGCTGCAGGCCTGCTGTGTGCCTGGTCCCCTCCTGCCAGTCCTCTGGGAGCTGCCAGCCCTCCTGTCCTACCCTGGTCTGTAGACCTGTCACCTGTAGCAGCTCCCCCTGCTGCTGAGCACAGTCTCCAAAGCCAGTTGCCCCTTGTAGTCAGGCTACACCTCTAACCCTCCAAGCTCCTGTCTTCTGTGGGCTAAGTTTCAGCAGGGGAGGCAGGTGGAAAGCCTGCTCATCAACCCTGAACCCTGTGTTGAGGATGCAGCTGAATTGTCTGAATCCCCTCAGCCCCTACCCATCCTCCTGACCTCTTAAAGCCAAATAAAGCAGCTTCTCCAGTTCATGGCTGGATTCTGTCCTCTGTTTTCATAGCTGTGTTTTGCTACTCTGCTGATCACAAAGGATTCCAGTGTAAACCCTTTTTGGTCTCACTTTGGCTCATCAGCAGGGAGCACTGGGTGGAGGAAGTGACCTTTGAGGTGATGTGGTGACTTCTGTTCTAGAGGCTCTGTGATCCAGGAGCATGTGGCCAAGACTCACTGTCTCTGGTCACTCTGTCCTGCTTCCCAGCTCTCCTTTCCCCATGCAGGGGCCACATGAATGGGGGAGCCTCAGTGTGTCCAGGATGGGGCTTGCACCTCCTTGGGGGAAAAGCATCGTGCTTTCTCAGTGCTGTGGACTTACTTCAACCGGTCAACATCCAGTCTTTCACTATGAGGTCACAGAACTCCAAGAGCTGGTAGCGCAGTTCCACCACCTGTCCACAGACATCTGTCTTTTATCGGTTGATTTGTAATCGCCATAGACAAGTAACCACACGTGTTTTCACTTCCACCAGAGACGCTAGAACATCAGTGATTCACCACTAACTCCTAGAGGCAGTGATTGTGGGGATTATGACCTCATCGCACTGTCTTCTCTAGAAAACAGAGTTGAATCATACTTGCCTATATGCTTCACGTGCATATTTTCCAATGTAGGCATTTTAATGATACGTAATCTTTTAGGAGTTAGTTCTTCCCTCTCGGTGTTGGTGAACCCCCACATTTCCTGGGGCTAACACCATCCTTAGTCTCCTCCACAGTTCTGTTATGACCATTCCATGGTAAAGTCTCAAGGAGATGAGCAGACCTGTGGTTCCCCAGCTCTGTTTCGACAGGCCACCTCCCTGGGCTCTTCCCTGGAGCTCTCACTGCAGGTGCCTTGTGCTCCCACCTTTTATTATGGCCTGGAAGCTGGTGATGAGATTTAGTTTGCAGAGTGGTTTGCTAACCTGGAACCAAGGCGGTCTGTGATCTCTGTGTTGCTTAAATTGGGCCTTTGTATGAAACTGAGTTGGAAATGAAACCACATGGACATGCAGTCCTGAATATGTGCACATGCCACACACCTACCCCATGGATGTGCACCTGCCCACGTACACACCCGCACTTAGCACCCACACTTCTGCACATGAATACACATGTGCACGAATGCACTCATGCACATGCCTGCACACACATGCACACACACTCATGTACTGTGTATCCCTGCACACAATTGTGCACCGTTGGTCTCCCTGCCAGCCTGTGAAACTGGACTCAGAGCGGGAGAGGTGGAGGGTTTTTGAGACCCTCCTGCTGCTACTCAGAAACACCAGGCAGAGGCCCTGATTTGTTCCGTCCACAGTGTGGGGCCTCTCCTAGACCTTTCTGTGCCTAGTGTACCTCATGGTCCGGGTCTAGAAGCAGGGTCAAAACACAGGAACGCCAGGAAGAGGATGAGAACCTGGGCATTTATTAATCTAGGGAAAGGTCCACAGTGGAGGCCGTTTTCCTTAAAGTCATGAGGAAAGGAAGACAATGAGTACAGGAAACGTTGCCTAGATGTGACCTGGGCAGTGAGTCCAGGATCTGAGGAGTGGGAAAAGAGGGAGCAGCACCAGGTGGCATGCTCCTTGGTTCCCCTAAACATAAAAAATAAAATAAAATGCGAGGAGAAAGATGGTATCAGACATTATGTATTAAACAACTCAAATTGACACAAGCAGTATTTCCCCCTGGCAATGGGTACGCGTCTTCTGTCAGGTCATTCATGTGTGTGCGTGTACACATCCATGTGGGTATGCACATGTGTGCATGCCTGCACGGGGTGGGGGAGGTTGAATTAACCAGTTAGATGTTGACTTGGGTTTGCCTTTTGTCACCGAGCTTCCTTCAATGTAATAAAGGCTGCAGATTCCTCTCATGCTGGCCACCAGTGACGACTTCTGCTTAGAGTCAGGGCTGGGGAGCCCAGTGGTTTTGCTCCACCCTAAGTTTTCAGACATTCACTACACAGAGGTGTCAACATAAACTCTCACCTTTTACCAGCAGGAGGCTGACTTCCTGGCTGCCTGGCATTGTGGTTGGCAGGGTCTCTGCCTCCAGGTCTCTGGCAGGCCTCTGTGCTGGGGCTGGAAAGGAGGCCTCTCAGACTCCCTGCTCCTCCCCCGGCAGCCAGATTGTGCTTTTATTTGTGGCAGTGTTGTGTTTCTTGCCTTCCCTGTTAGCATGGGATTTGCGGTCTAGGCCTGTTTCCCGCCTATCCCTCAAGAGGACTTTTTTCTTCCACCGTTTCTCCCACACAATGTGAGTCTCAGAAGGCAGGTGTGGGGACCAGCACCTTCAGGTCACTCCCCACCCTAAGGACCCTCCTCTTCAGCTCAGCCAGAGGGAAAAAAATGCTCAGAGGAGGGGATATTGTCATATTCTCCAAGGAGAGAACTTCAAAGATGTATGAAGTTGAAAGAGAGAGGCAAGATTTGCGTGGGAAAGTGGATTTATTTGCTCACGTGTGTTAGAGAAGGGATCTAAGAGCTAGGATGTCCCTGGGGAATGAGGAAGGAGTGGGCTCTGGATCATGCTGCAGACTCTCCCTGGTGTTCCAGGGCTGACCGAGTGCACTTTCCATCTGCTCATGGGCTAAATCTGGGTTCACAGAAGATAGGAGGGGTACAGGTGGGGCCCATCTGCACTGGGGATGGCTTTCTTGGAGAGTCGTGGTCAGCAGCAGGTAGCAGGGGTGCTACATGAGACAGGTCTGCAGACCAGGGTGGGGCAGGAGGGCTGACAGCACCCAGAGGACTGGCAGGAGGGGGCCACACACACAGCAGGCCTGCAGCTCACAGGAACACACACACAGGACTGGCAGGAGGGGGCCACACACACAGCAGGCCTGCAGCTCACAGGAACAGAGCAGGGCACCTGGCATCTCACAGGAATATACATGGCAGGCCTGCAGCTCGTGGGCACACAGCAGGAGGCTTGGCTGGGGCTGGACACACAGTAGGCTGGCTGGCAGCCCGAGGAGCAGCTGGTGTGGCACATGGTGGAGAGGTGGCTGGCGTTGGGAGGAGGGTGGTGATGTCTGGGGCTCCTGCTCTGGGCAGCTTTTATACCAGGCCTGGGTGTCTCAACAATGCAGAATATGGCAGTGTCTTCCTTGTGGTGATTCCATTATGTGTGCCCCAACATCTTATTATCTTGGGATGCACTTTCCTGAGTGACATCCACTGTAAAAACTTTGCTTCAAGGCAAATTTCTTCCGCAAACAAGATACTCTGGTTTGACTTCGTGTGTCTGACTTTAGGTTGTTGTAAGGTCATCATTGTGTACACAGCACCAATGGCTTGACTCAAGTACCATGTTCTGCTTTTTTTTCCTTTTTTGTCTTGTGTTGTTTATCAATGAAGACTTCAAGTTAATGATGTATATTTTTATTATTTATTTTGCATGGGAAAACTTAGCTCACTGCCTGTTTCTGTAAATAAAGTTTTATTGGAACACAGCATGCCCATCTGTGTGTTGTCAATAGCTGTCTTTGTACCAAAACAGGGAGATCAGTAGTTATAAAAGAGGCTGTGTAACTTGAAAAACCTAGAATATACTACTGCCTGTCAGAGAAACTTAGCTAACTCTGACATATAGTAACTGGTACAAGTGTTTATTTGCTCACGCAACAAATAGTAGTATGTACTATTGGCAGACAGGCCCTGGCCTCATGAGCAGGGGGCAATGAGCAAACAAAGAACAAGGAAGTGAATGCATGAAATAATCCCAGGGAGGAATTCATCAGAAAGAGGAATGAGTACTGGGGGGGTAGTCTGGGTAGTCTCTCTGTGGGGAGACAGTGCTGAGCTGGCTTTGGGGAAGTAATCTGTGAAGATCAGAGAGAGCCATGGGATGCGAGGACACTGCTGCTGGAGTTGGCCTGTCCCTGGGAGGACACTGCAAGTCCTACACTCTTCACCTGGGTGCAAATTGTGCAGACCCAAGGACCAGGTGTTACAATCCATGTTGAGGCACCTGGGGTGTGGAGTTGGGAGCCACTTGGTAGGAAGAATCGGTGAACATGGAGGTGTACCAAGAGACATTATCCAATCTCAAAAAGCGAAGGGAAGAATAGAGAAAGGTGGAAAGGGCCTATGCAACCATATCAAACCATCCAACAAGTGCATCCAGACTCAGAGGGGAAGAGAATGGTACTAAGCCACAAGCAAGTTTTGAGGTAAAAGTGAACAAAATCCACACATCTGATTTTCTTTAAATACCAAACTACAGATTCAAAGAGGCCTCAGCAGGATAAATTTAAAGAAAACCACAAATGAGCACGTGATAAAATGATGAAAACCAAAGTAAAGTGAAACTCTTGAGAGCACTGGGAGGAAAAAACACTTCACGTACAAAGGAGGAGAGGATCACGGATACTGCAGCAGAGACAATGCAGATGGCAGACAATGGGAAGTTTCCACGCCATGAGAGACATAGTCACAGCAGGAATTCCACATGTATGAACATGAAAACCTGTTAAGGTGGGGATGAAATGAAAACATGTTCAGAAAAGCAAAAGCTGAGGGAATTCCTCACCAGCAGACTTCTCTACAAGAAATACAAAGGCTGCACTTAAGGTTGAATAGAAATGAGGCCAGTGGACTCTGGGCCTACAGGAAGGAATAAGGAATAAAGATATGAGAGGAAGTACAGAGGTAGCTAAACGTAAAAGACACATTTTCTTTCTTTTCAAAATTTACTTGTAAGACAGCTCTGATGTTCCTATGATTTTTAGATGGATAAATTGAGATGGATCTGGCTTTTTTTGGTGGTGGTGGTGGGAATCAAACCGAGGTCCTCACACATGCTAGGCAAGTGCTCTAGACCCCAGGCCTGACAACTGACTGTTCTAAATGATTGATAAACTAAACATTTTTAAAATGCAGTGCATATGTCACACATAGCTGCACAGTTCTCTGTGGTCCAGAATGGTTTTTCACTGTGCCCAGTCCAGAGGAGGAGCTGGTGAAAGGGCTGAATTCTGGACTTGCGTGGCCTTAAGGGTCACTCCCTCAGGTGGACATATATTGGCTTTGGGTCCATTAGGTTTCTAAGGCCTGACTGTGACTTTTGGCTCTAAGGCCTGAACTGGTCTTCAATCCCAGAGTTGAGGTTACCTCTATGACATCTAACTCTTCTTAGGGCTTCTTGGCAGGGGGAGTCTCCTCTGTACCTCCAGCAGCACTGGCAGGACACAGGAATGTCAGAGGCCACCCATGGTGCAGCCAGCTTTGAAACAGCACTGCCTAGAGAGACAGTGGGGCCTCCTGGAAACACTACAGAGTACCAGGCTGGGGCCTATGCATGAGAACAGAGAGCTGGGACGTGAGGAGCAACATTTATCCACACTGGGCACGGTGTCCCCTTATAGAGGACATCCTTGTGTTTTATACTAGCTCCTCACTTTGCCCCGATGGGACCCTTGGGCTGGGAGAGGAATGGGCATGGGCAGCTCAGCCCCTCCACAGCTGAACCCTTGGGCTCCCCTGCAGCAGGGCTGGCACAGGTACCTCCTGACTTCCTACTTACACTTCTGTACACATGGGGTACCCGCCTCCCCAAATGCTGCTGAAGATAAATGACAGCAAATGCTTATCACAGCACCTGGGCAAAGTCAGGGTTCGGTGATGGTTATCATTCCAGTAACAATAATTCCACAGTGAGCTGAAAGCTTGGTTCTCTGTGGTCAGGAAGACTCTGTGGATGACTGAGTTTCCAGATCTAAAAGGGGCTCCCGGTGTGGTGAGAATACTGTGAGTGTGTGGACACCAGATGGGACACTGGAAGTCCATGAGTTGGGGTCCCCTGAACTCAAATCATGGCTTTTCACCATCTAATAAGGTTCTGTGTCCAGGAAAAATAAGGCCTGACAAGTCACAGGGAGCCTTCAGCTTTTGGACTCCTGAACTGAGTGAGGGCCCTCAACAGGAGAGGCCAAAGGAAGAAAACAACACCCACCATGAGGAGGACTCCAGGGTGGGTTGGAGACAGGACGCCTGACCCAGAGTGAGTGTAAAGGCCAAGTAGGAGAGCTGCCTCCAGAGCAGACCCATGCCCCGCCAGATCCCACCCAGCCCAGCAATGCTGTGCCATACCAGCTGGTCCTTAGGCTGCCTGCTGGACTGCCTTGCTTCCCTGTGCTGCATCTCCACTGCTGGCTGCTCAGCCCAGGACTGCAGGAACTGCTGCTGCCTTGCTCCATGTGGCTATGTTGTGCAATGTGGCTGTCTCCTTGTCAGGAGTTCTGTGTGCCCATGAGCTGCCAGTCCTCCTGCCTGGTCTGTACCCCAGCCATCTGCTGAGCCTGTGGCCTCCAAAGCTACTACTAGGTGAGCATGTGACTGCACCTCTGCTCTTCCCCAGGCTCTCTGCTCACGGCCACACAGACCTCCCAGACCTGACAAGACCTCCTATCTCCTTTGCAGCAAGACCCCTGGAACCCAGCCAGTGAGGCAAGGGACAGGCACTCTGGGTCCTCCAGCCCAACTCATCCATGCCACCATCTACACTGCCTCAGGCTGAGTCTCCAGCTCTTGGAGTCTCTTGCAGGAAAGAGCCAATAAGCATCAGAAGCAGATGCCCTGGGTTTGCTTCTCAGGAGTTGTGTCTGAGAGCAGGTCCATACCCCCAATGGCCAGGAGCCAGGTGACCATCACCTCAGGGAAGCCTCTTGGACCAGGGGGAATGCTCCGTGCACTGGAGCTAAGGTGACCCCAGTGGCTTCCTTTTGTCTCACTTTGTCACTTAAGTTTAGGAGGTTAGTTCTTTCTTTCCCCCGCTATGGTGAGAGTGAAGGCTGCTTACTCGTTCATGGTTTCAGAGGGGTTGTCATGGTCTTTTGGCCCCCCGTGCTTGGGCAGAACATATGGTGGTGGGAATGTGTGAGGCAGGAGGATGCCCACCTCATGGTGGACAGGAAGCAGAGGTGACTGGGGACCAGCGATAGCCTTCAAAGTCACTCCTCCAGTGACCTACTTCCTCCAGCTAGCCCCGCCTCCTGAACTTTCCACAACCTCCCAAGGCAGTGCCACCTCCTGGGGACCAAGTGCTCAGCACATGAGCCCATGGAGACATTTCGTAGTCAAACGGTGACAGTAGTGGGGTGGCTCCTTCTGCCCGGTCTATTTTCACTCTGTTCTTTTTTTTTTAAGTATAAAGACAAGTTTAATGTGGTGCCAAGATAAATACTCAAAATTCATGGTTCTTTTTGTGCTAGCGTGTATTAGTGGTACAGGGAGATTCGTTGTGACATCTACATATGTGCTTACCATGTGTCTTAATTAGACTCGCCCCTCCATCATTCTCCCCATCCTCTTCTCCCCCCTGACCAATTTCACCCTCCCTCTGTTCTTGAAGAGTCCGTGTTATGGTTTGGATCTGACATGTTCCCCAAAGGGCATGAGCTAAAAGCCCTGTTCACCAGTTTATGACACCATGAGAGGTGCAGGACCTTTAGGAGGTGGGGCTTAGTGGGGGGAGCCAGTCACTGGGGCCATGCCCTCGAAGGGGATGTTGAATCCTGGCCCTTTCTCTCTCGTTTGCTTTCTGGCCATGAGGCGAGCAGCCTTGCCCTACCACGTGCTCCCTGCCATGACGTCCTGCCTTGCCACAGCCCCAAAACAGGGCCAAGTGGTCATTGACTGAAACCTCCAAAAATGTGAGCCAAAATAAACCTTTCCTCCATCCACGTTGATCACCTCAGGTATTTCATCATAGCAGAGGAGAGCTGACTAATACAATCCACAAGGCCTTTCTCTCTCACCTATGGGGACCACCATATTCTTAGTATTTGAAGAAAAAAATAACGGACACAGCTTGAATAAACCAGCAAACAGAATCAATGCAATTTCAGTTTTGCCACTTTGTGTTCAGAGGACCTTGTAGGGTCCTGCCCGGCCCTCTTCTCAGGGTAAGCTCAGCCTGGAGGAGGTATCTCTGAGGCTGGTCCCATCCACCCGCTCCACTGTTGCCGGCTCTAAGGACTTTCTGCTCAGTTCTCAGCACAGGGGCTGAGTAGAGCTGACCTGGCTGGCCTGGCTGCTGCCAGCTGACTCTGCTATGCTGGTCCTCTGACTCTCCATAGCTCACAAGGTCTCTCTTTGCTTTGTGTCTCTTCAACCAAGCCTTAAACCCTGAGTGGCTCCGAAGTCCCCCTGGAGCCCACAGGCCCTTTTTGCATCTATGGCGGGGTTGGCACGCAGACACTCACTCACTGGGGGGATCCCTCTCTCAGTGGGCTACAGCCCTGTTTACCCACCTGGAAGCCCCCAGAGCACAGTCCCCTTGGAACTCCAATCTGATGGGCTTTCTTGCTTCTCCCCAACTCCCCACCTGGAATATGTAAGGTGGCTGCCAGGCAGAGAGTGGTGTGGGCCTTGTGCACTTCAGATCTTTGTCTCTTTGCTGCTTTGAACTTGAGAATACTTCTGTCTTATCTGGCTTTTATAGGACAGTGGACCTGCAGCCCAAATTTGGGCTGGGCCTGGGGGCTCAGGAGAGGTGCAGAAAATGCACAGCAGCCCATGTTTTCGGGCACAAACTCTTTATTGATTATAGCAATTGGTATTTGTCAACACCATTTGTCAACACCAATTGCAGGTGAGCAATCCTGAGAAGCTCCCAGCAGGCTGCTGCCCCTGAGGAACGTGTAGGTCATCTCCCTCGAAGGGGGAGAGGAGTAGTTTGCTTCGTCAATCTTTCCAGCAGCAGCTGCACAGCCACTGGTCAGGAAAGGGACAATTCTGGTCACTGGCAGGCAGCCTACAGGGCTCCTGAGAGGAGAAGATCCTGCTTAGGGAACAGAGGCACAGCCTTTGAGAGCTGGGAGGCAAACCAGTCAGCAGCTGGACTTCTGGTCTGAGGAGAGGCCACAGCAGGCAGGGCGGGAGCAGGCAGGACGGCAGAGCAGGGACACACAGGAGGCTGCTGGGCCACAGCAGCTGGGCTGGCAGGAGGAGGCACAGCAGGAGGAATCAGGCACACAGCAGGCGGGCTTGCACACAGGGCGGCAGAGCAGGGACACGCTGGAGGCCGCTGGGCCACAGCAGCTGGGCTGGCAGGAGGAGGTGGGCACACAGCAGGCGGGCTTGCACACGGGGCGGCAGAGCAGGGACACACTGGAAGCTGGGCGACAGCAGCTGGGCTGGCAGGAGGAGGCACAGCAGGAGGAATCAGGTACACAGCAGGCGGGCTTGCACACGGGGCGGCAGAGCAGGGACACGCTGGAGGAGGGCTTGCAGCAGACCGGCACACAGAAGTACTGCTGGCAGGGGGAGGAGGTGCAGCAAGAGGGCTCACAGCTAGACTGCTGGCAGGATGAGGAGGAATCCCCAGAGCAGATGGGTACACAGCACACGGGCTTGCAGCACACGGGCACACAGCAGGACTGCTGGCAGGGGGACGAGGTGCAGCAAGCAGGCTCACAGCTACACTGCTGGCAGCATGAGGGCGTGCAGCAGCTGGTGCAGACTGACTGGCTGCAGGGGCTGGACCCACAGCTCACTGGGGTGCAGACGAAGGTCAGGCAGGAGGCTGGGGCACAACAGCTGAGATCATAGCAGCTGGACTGGCAGCAGCTGGGGACACAGCAGGGTTCGCAGCAGCTCTCTGGGCAGTCGTCCACCTGCCAGGAGGCGTCAGTGCAAGAGTCATAGGAGCCTGGGAGGCAGACCCGGCTGTCATAGCTCAGATCACTGGAGCACACGGATGCAGCCATGGTGGGGCTTGGGCAGGGTGTGAGTGTGCAGGAGGTGAGTGTGTAAGGTGTGAGTGAGTGGTGTGTGAGTGAGTACTGGGGCTGTGAGCTTTTATACCCCGGTGTGCTGTGTGTTGTCCCGAAAAGAGGCTTTACAAGCCACCCTTCCTGTTGACGTCCAGAGCTGACTGCTGGAGGTCCTCACCCATGCTGCTTATTAAAGTCGCATGTTCATCTCAGGACTGTTTCTCTGTCCTTCTTATTTTGGCTCCAGTGAAGTCCTGGGAAGTGCTTGAGTCAGGCTCTGCTGGGCTGAGGTTCTAGAAGCAGACACTTGCCCAACACCCTGCTTCCAGCATCCTGTATGTGCACTGATTGCTTTTTGCTTTTAAGCATTTTAAAATATAAAGAAAAACTTGCACATCCTAGAAAATACAACTGGTACAGAGGATTAAGTGACAGGAGGTAAAGTGTCCCTTCCCACTGTCACCTCAGGGCACTTCTGGTGATGTTTCCAGCCACTCTGGGCTTTTTTCCATCTCCATTTCACCATGGTGCAAGACCAATAACACTCTCCCAAGCCATGGTGGATTTACATTTGAAGGCTCTTCCTGTGTCTAAAAACGCCTCAATCCTCACACTTTGGATAGTTTGGCTGGGGAGAGAACTCTTGTTTTGACTTGTTGACCCCTCAAAACAATGAAGGCAAACCTCTTTTGTCTTTTTTTGTCTCTTTGCGTGTATGTCCAGTGTGGCTGGTGAGAGTTGACTATCTTTATAGTTTGTCTTGTTTCTTTTTTTTTCAACGTTTGGGGGAGTGTTTGGTCCTCTTTCTTCACTCTCATTCTAGAATGTCATGTGTTTGTCTCCAGGTTTGTGTGTTCGTTGGCTTTCTGGGATTGGAACTCATTGAGACTTGCAAAACAAAAGCTCATCTCAGGAAATGTTTTGCTTTATTTGAACTGCATTTTCCTCCTTCCTGGTCTCTCCTTTTGTGACTCCGAGCAGGTGTCAGCCCTCCTGGAGCTGCTCTCCTGTCTTCACTCTGCCCCGTCTTCCTCGTGTTTGTCCTTTGTATTTCTCTCTAGGGGATTTTCTCGATTTTATTTTCAGACCACATTCTGGTCTTTAGCCATATCGTCCACTGTTTGGTCCTTGCTATGATTTAGTTACTTTGGAATTTTCAATTTCCAAAAGTTATTTATCGTTCCTTTTTCATGGCTGCTTGCTTTTGTCTTGTGCTCTGAATGGAGTTTGTCTTCCACTAATTCCAAGGCTGTTCCTTGGAAGTTTTGAAAGTTCTCCCGTTTCTTAAGCCACTGTTGTCACTGGACATTGGACAAGGCCCCCATTGATTTTCTGGATGAAAGAGCGAGTTGTTTTATTCTGTGCGTTGAGTCCTGCGTCAGTCTCTGTTCCATTTGCCTCTCTATGCAGCATACTGAGGCTCAGCTCAGACCCCTGTCTTGCTTTTGGGCTATTTCGATCTCATTTTTCTTATAACTTAAAGAAGTAGCCTATCAGCGAGCATAAGTGGTTTTGCAAGAGCTGTGACCTTGACCCACCTTCCTGAACCGAAGGGCCCAGTGTCACCTCAGGAACTGAGGGAAAATCAGTACCTCTGGCTCTGGAAGATATTAGCAGGTACTTTGCCTTTGAGACCTGCCCAGCCACGGTGTGACCTCCTTTCACAGCTGATCCCGTATGAGCCGGGCTGTGGGACACACTTCTTCCAGGTGTGAAAATGCCAGGTGTTCTGTAAAACCCAAGAACCCCGAATTCTGATTGGCGTCTCTCACGGCCATGAAGGGCTCTTTTCCTCCCGTGGCTCCCCCTCCTCCCCCAGGTCTGGCTCTGGGAAGCCTGGGCTGTGCGAGGACTCAGGAGAGGACTGTGGCCCTGAGGCAGCGGGAGCAGCGAAGTCTCCTGTGGCCTGGGCGTGGACAATCTTTACCTCGATCGGCTCAGTGGGATGGACACTCTGACTCCTCGTTTCTTCCACTTATAGCTGTGACGTGCGCTCTCATGTCCCTCTCTTCTTGGCCTCTGGTCTGCCAGGCTATGTCCAAAGTGCCTTTCAGTCACCCTGCTTTACCCACGGCCCTCAGGGCTCAGTGCACCTGACCCCCCTCTCTGCAGGGCATGGACAGGTGCAGGGGGGTGGAGGGGTGAAGACAGGTGATGCCGGACACCTGTCACCTGCAGGGGATGCACACCTTCATTTTCCCCTCCTGTGAGTGACTTGCACCTTATTCTGCTCTACGTCCTTGGCGAGATGCCCGCCAGGGCTGGGCTTGTTCCTGGGGCCGATGGATGTGCCTCCCTCTGCTCCTTGCTGAGCGAGCACGACTGGTGTGCAGGAGTCTTGTTCTCGGTCCACGCAGTTTCTGTTGCTGGTTTACACAGTTTTTCCTGGGGCTTCAAATAAAGAATGAGTTGAATCATACGTGGGTGTGGGGGTGTGTACATGTGAGTGCATATGTGCAGTGTGTGTACACATGTGGGGGGGTGTGTACACGTGAGTGCCTAAGTGCAGTATGTGTGTACACGTGTGTGAGGGGTGTGTACACGTGAGTGCATACATGCAGTATGTGTGTACACGTGGGGGTGTACATGTGCATGCATACGTGCAGTGTGTGTACACGTGTGGGGGTGTACACGTGAGTGCATACGTGCAGTATGGGTGTACACGTGTGTGGGGGTGTGTACATGTGAGTGCATATGTGCAGTATGTGTGTACACGTGCGGGGGTGTACATGTGAGTGCATACATGCAGTATGGGTGTACACATGTGTGCATGTGTGTGCGTGTGCATGCGTGTGTGTGCAAGTGGGAATATTGAGCCCGGGAGAGTCCTAAGGGCTCCTCTGCCTCCGTTCTTTCCGCGCCTGTCTTCTGAGACACACTCCACCTGACAATGGCTTATGACTTTTTTTACCTCACTTTTTTACTTCACAGAATCCCCTCCGCATTCTTTGACGTCAAATTGAGAACCGGAGTCGTGTATGTGTGAGGTAGACCGTGTGACAGCGTGTTGTCATGGTTACTGCAGTCGAGCTAGTTAACATGTCCACCCCCGGCCTAGGGACCTGTTGTGTGCTGGACACTTGAGAGCTCCTCCCAGCAGATTTCACGTGTAGAGCTCAGCACCTTCCACAGCGGCCCCGCTGGGCATTCTGTCTCCAGAGCTCACTCGCCTGTGTGAATTCGGGGTCCCTTCAGCAGCATCTCCCCCTTTTCTGCCCTCTCCACTCTCTGCTTTTACGGGTTTGCCTTCCTTTTTAAAGGCTGGCTGTTTAGTACTCACTGTGTACGTGTAGCACCGATTCGTCCTCCACTCGTCTGCCCGTGGACGCTGGTTGATTGCAGGTGTCTCCCGCCTCTGTGCTCATACTCAGAAGGGAGGTTGCTGGGTCCTATGGTGGTTCTACATAGGGTCTCCCTATGTAGCCCCAGCTGGCCTGGAATTCACTACGTACCTCAAGCTGGCCTTGAACTCAAGATGCTCCTGCCTCTGTCTCCCGAGCACAGCACTGGGATTACAGGCTGGAACCCCCATGCTCAGCCTCCGCTTCTAATTTTTTGAGGGACACCCACACTGTTTTCCATAATGAGTGGATAAGCGGCTCGTTATTTTTTGATATAGCTTTATATTAAATATGCCAGCATTTTATTTAAAATCTCTTAACTTTTTATTTTTAAATGAGATTGGTTTGTGCATTCTCTCTCTCTCTGCTGGTTTTGGCACTAGAATTTTGCCAGTCTTTCTAGGTAAATCCAGAGCACCCCTGGCTTGTTCTAAGCTCTGGAACATTTTCAATCTTACAGACACGGCTTTATGCTGAAGGTTTATCACACACACCTTTAAAACCACCCGGATCTTTGCCTTGTGAAGAATCAGATCAAATTTTTCATTTTGTTAGTCAGTGTACTTAATTTATATTTTTAGAACATGATACAATTCTTTTATAGCTTCAAATTTTAGGATAAAATATCAATACTGCTTTATCACACTTAAAAACAAAAATCTTTGAGCCATGAGCACATTCCTTTCTTGTTTTTATTATTATTTTCGGTGGTCTCTGTGTCTCACTTCTTTCTCTGAGCATGTTTCCAAGATCCTCCATGTTGTCATGCTCGACTCTGATCCTTTTTATGGCTGGGTAATATTCCATTGTGTGGATGTACCACATTTCATCCATCCACTGGTGAACACTGGGGAGTTACACTTTCTGGCTATTCAGAGGCCATGTATGTGAGTGGACACCTCTTTATAGGACATATGCCTTCATGTCTCTTGGGCTGATGCCTGAAACTGGACTGGCAGTGTCATAGGGTCACTCTGTGATCAACATTTTAAGAAACTGCCATCCAAAGTGGCTGCACCTAGGACTGAGGCTTTGATGAGGCAGAAGACACATCTCCTGGGTTTTGTAGCTGAGCTCTCCCCAGGAAGAACACATCTGGGGACATCAGGGCTCATGAGGTCTTGGGTGTCTCAGACGTCAACACCTAGAGGTGACAGTGACCAACAATGGAGGAGGTCACAGTGAGCCTGGTTCTCCGCCTAACTTCTGTTCCAACCCTGTGGCCTCAGAGGGCACAGAGAGGAGACCAGACGCTTGTGTGAGGACCTGACTCCTGATGGTGTCGAGCCCAGGATCAGGGCTGAGCTGTTGGCCATCCAAGAGCCACAGCAGGACCAGACATCCTGGTCCTTTGGGTCCTGGGGACTCCTGCTGGCTGCCCCAGGTGGTTGGTTTCAGGGACTGTGAGGTGGGTGGCTGTCCTGACCATGGTGCCCACTGTGTGGCGGGAGGCTGGGATTGGTGCTGGGTCAGTGTCCTCCGGCCCCTCTCTGCAGGGCTGGGGTGAAATCCAGGATCTCTATCAGGTCCAGCTGCTGGCAGTGAAGACGGGAAGGGCTTTGCATCACATATGGTGTCCTGGACTGTGTCTGGGTGTTTGGACAAAACCCAGGATGTTGGGGTTGTGGGAAGGGTGTCTTGAGATCAGAAGCCAGGAGCCCCCAGATCTCCAGTGGAGGTTGTACAGGGAGGAGGCCATCCCCAGCCAGTCGGTACTGTTGACCCTGCCTGGCAACAAGGGACCCAGGTAGGGATGGCAGCCCGATGAGACGCTGCTCCTGTATTGAACTGAGGGGACAGGATGGCGCTGGAGTGAAGCCGACTTGCTGGGCTGCAAGGATGGGGAAGCTGTCCAGGTGTCCTGAGTGACAAGGAGCTGAGGTCTCTGGGAGTGGGGCTGGGCCCAGGTGGGCTCCCCCAGTCCTGTGGGGCAGGTACAGAGTTGGGAAGGCCAACTATGGCTCCAGGGCCATGACAGTCCCGGGGGTCATGTTGCCCTACCAGCCCTGGACTTGGTTCCCAGGTGGCTCTCCTGAGCACTGGGCTAAGGTCCCACAGGGCTACCAGGAGCCTGGCCTCCAGGATTCACAGAAGTCATCTTCCTCTCCCATGTCTACAGCCAGACAGAGGGTCAGGTGAGACAGAGGCAGCTTTATTAAGACTCAGGAGGTGCCAAGGCCCAGGAGTGACTGGAACTGCTGGGGTGGGGACTTATCTGAGGTGAGGGGGCACTGGGGAGCTGCAGGGGCCTCCATGCCAGCAGCACCAGGGAAGAACATGGGGAGCAGCCCAGGAGTGGCAGCTTATTTACTGTGGTTGGTGGCTAGAGGGGCTGGGGCATTGGGAAGTGACCACATGGTGGGAACAGGAGCCTGGATGAGATTAAGGTGATCAGCAGCTGGACTTCTGACCCAAGGAGAGGCCACAGCAGGCTGGGCGGGAGCAGGCAGGGCTGCAGAGCAGGGACACACAGGAGACTGCTGGGCGACAACAGCTGGGCTGGCAGGAGGAGGCACAGCAGGAGGAATCAGGCACACAGCAGGCGGGCTTGCACACAGGGCTGCAGAGCAGGGACACACAGGAGACTGCTGGGCGACAACAGCTGGGCTGGCAGGAGGAGGCACAGCAGGAGGAATCAGGCACACAGCAGGCAGGCTTGCACACGGGGCGGCAGAACAGGGACACACTGGAGGTCGGGCGAGAGCAGATGGGCTGGCAGGAGGAGGCACAGCAGGAGGAATCAGGTACACAGCAGGCGGGCTTGCACACAGGGCGGCAGAGCAGGGACACACTGGAGGAGGGCTTGCAGCAGACGGGCACACAGAAGTACTGCTGGCAGGGGGAGGAGGAGCAGCAAGAGGGCTCACAGCTAGACTGCTGGCAGGATGAGGAGGACTCCCCAGAGCAGACGGGCACACAGCACACGGGCTTGCAGCACACAGGCACACAGCACATGGGCACACAGCAGGACTGCTGGCAGGGGGACGAGGCGCAGCAAGCTGGCTCACAGCTAGACTGCTGGCAGCACGAGGGCATGCAGCAGCTGGTGCAGACTGACTGACTGCAGGGGCTGGACACACAGCTCACTGGGGAGCAGACGAAGGTCAGGCAGGAGGCTGGGGCACAGCAGCCAGAGGCACAGCAGCTGGGCTGGCAGCAGCTGGGGGCACAGCAGGGTTCGCAGCAGCTCTCTGGACAGTCGTCCACCTGCCAGGAGGCATCGGTGTAAGTGTCAGAACAGACGGACCTGGTGGACATGTTCATGGTGGGTTGGGCTGGAGGAGGGTGTGGGTGGTGTGATGGGTGAGTGGTCAGTGGTGAGTGGTGTGTGATGCTCTGGGCTCCTGGGCTTTTATCCAGGGAGGGTGTGCTCTCCCTGTCAGGAGGCTCCACAGTGCCCTTCCCTTTCCGGGTTGGTGTTGGAGTCACGAGGATCTTCCCCAGGGCTCAGTTCATAAACTTCCTTTGGCTGCCTGGCCTGGGCATGGCCCCACAGGATACCAGGGAACAGCCCGCAGTGGGCAGACAGGGTCACAGCAGATGAGCCTCCCTACATTGGCCCTGCATCCTCCACTTGGGGCATCGCCTGCCAGGATGCCTGGTGTGGGCTCCTGGCCCAGGTATGCTCTCTGTGTTCCTCCAGCCTCTGTCCCCAGTGGCCTCGGCTGGGTGGCCCATCCCGGCCTGTGACTAGGGATGGAACTGCTATTTGTGCAGACAACATGAAGACAGCCCTCCCTATAGGCTGAGGTCACCATTGTCTAGCATGGCGAGAGCAGTAAGTACAGGGGCCTCCATTCCTAGGAAAGGAGACCAGCCAGGCCTGGGCTTCCTGGACAAGTGAGCATGATAGAACAACCAGACTTGGCTGGACCAAGTCTGACCTTCCTGTGCTAAACCAGTGTCCCCTGATACCTGCGCTCACTTGTCCTGGGAAGGGCAGGTCTCAGGTCAGGACCTGAGGCTGGGTGGGGGAGGCAGCCTGGAGGAGGCAGACATGAGCAAGTGTGGCCTGGAACTGCTGGAGGACACTCTTAGTCTGCCAGGGCAGCCCATGTCTAGGAAGGCCACAGCCAGACTGGACCTTGTCCTGGTGTGGGACGGTCACAGGAGGACTCTCCTGGATCTTGAGCCCAGCATGGTCTACAGATGATTCCACGAAGAGCCACTCATGTTTCCCAGCATCCTCTTGGCCTCTCTCATAGAGATGAAGAGCAGGTCAGAAAGGTGTGGAAGCCTCACTGGCCAGGTGCCATCCCTGAGTGTCACATGTCCGCAGCTGAGGAGGTCCACAGCAAGAACAGGCCTGGCAGACATAGGAAAGCAACAGACAGACAAGCAGAGACTGAAAAGTATAATGAGACTTGAACCCCCATGCAGTTGGGGGTTGTTCTCACCCGCACCCTTTAATTAATTCATCATTGTGGTTTCCATCAAACCCTGAAGGAATCTTTTTCGCATATAAAGGAAGTCATCGAACCATCAGAAAGTACTAGTGACATGAATGACAGATGAAAGGTCAATGAGAGAATTTTAAAGACCTTCAGACTAAAACAGACTAACAGATACAAAAGAATTGAATCTACGATCTGAAAAAGTCAAATTTCAATATGCTGGTGAAAAACCACTTGATCTCGCTGATAGGTTAAACCTTCCCCTGTAAAACCAACCGAGATTTGAAACTGATCAGTCCATGGTGCGGGCGCCTCAGTCTCAGAATCTCTTGGCAGGCGTGGTTTTATTTAAATTGTGATCACACGCAATACGAATTTTACCGTTTCATCCATTTTTAAGTGTGTCATTCACTGCAGTATTTAGTGACCATCTCTACCATCTGGTTCCAGAACATTCCCGTCAGCACAAACGGAAACCCCGTACTTAAGCAGTCACTCCCTAGGCACTGTCCACAACCTATCTGTCCATCTGTAGGGACTTTCCCATTCTGCACATTTCATACTAATAGGACATAGAATGTGTGGCCTTTTGTGTCTTGCTCCATCACTTGACACATTTGTGAGTCAGAACCTCATTCCTTTTGGTGGCTGACTACTATTCCTTCACATGGACACATCACAGGTGACTGACTTGTTCCTCGGTTGAGGGACATTTAGACAGTGTTCACTGATTGGCTAATGTGACTGGTGCAGCTAGGAGCATTCTTTGCAAGTTTTTGTTTGAACACCTCTTTTCAGTGCCCTCGGGTATGCAATTGCTGGGTCACTTGATAACACAATGTCTCCCCGTGGAAGAGCTGCCTGGTGTTTCCTGTGACATCTGCACCCTTTTACACTCCCGCCAGCAGTGCACATCTGTGTCAATTTATTGACACCTCGTGTGTGTGAAGAGGCACCATGTGTGGTTTTGAGTTGGACTTCTCTAAGGACCAGTGGCAGTGGATTTTCCATGTGCTCAACTGGCTGTTTCTATATCCTCTTTGGGGAGGACACCTGTGAAAATTCCACTCAGTGGTCCTGGCAGTGTCGTTGGGGGCTGATGACTCGATGGACTCCACTGATAACCTTGCAGTCAGTCATCCATCTGACTCTCTAATTTAGTTTTTTCCTTGCCTCATCACAAGCTCTATCTTTAACCTACAGTACGGTGTTGAGCAGAAGTGGCAAAACCGACGTCATGGTCTTGTTTCTGATCTCGGGAGAAGCTTTCTGTCTCTCTCCACTGAGTGTGACGTTAGCTGTGGGCTTCCCATAAATGCTCTCCACTGTGTTGAGGATGTTCTCCTCCATTCATGCGCTGTTGGCATCTTTGTCACGAGAAGGAGTTGGCTTTTGTTAAATGCCTTTTCTGCCTCTGTGAAAGGCTCTCCCTTCCCTCTGTCCCACTGGTGCCTTGCAGGGGTGGGGTTTCACGGGGTGAGTCCCGTGTGTTTCTGGGACGTATCCCACTTGGTCATGCTGGGAACGACCGTCTCTGCCACTGGGTTTGGTTCGATGGGAGTCTGTGGAGGATTTTTGGATCTACATTTGTAAGGGGTATTGGTCTGCAGTTTTCTTTTGTCGTTTTTGTCTTGCTTTGGTACCAGGATGATGTTGACATCACTGAATGTGTTAGGAAGTGATCCTCTGCTAGGGAGAGGAAGGGTTGAAAGGATGGTCATAATTTTCTTCTAACTGTGAAATATAGCACAGCACTGAAGCTTTTGGGGCATTTCACATCTTGACCTGTTATAGGTCCATTCCACCTGGTCTACCTTCTCCTCTGGCAGTTCGTTCAGGTTAGATCCTCAGACACAGATAGACTGAAAACAAAAGAAGATATTTCATGCAAATAGCCAAAAGGGATCTGAGTGGCAATAAAAAAAATCTTTTTAATGTACTTTGAGTCAAAAATTGTTATGCAATAAATGATGACATTAAATATTATACAGGGCTGATATACCAAGAAGTGATAACTACAGACATTTGTATACCTGTCATTAGACTCCCCCGCTCAATAAATGAAGCAGGAATGGAAAAGACTGAGAAAGAGACGCTTCCATAGCTGGGTGCGGTGGCTCATGTCCATGGAGTAGAGATCAGGGGGATCGTGGTTTAAGGCCAGCCTGGGCAAAATGTCTGTGAGGCCCCATCTCAACAAATAAGCCAGGTGTGGTGGCATGTGCCTGTGTTCCCAGCTATATGAGAGAGGTAAGGATTGTGGTCTGAGGCCAACCCCAGACAAAAATGCAAGAGTCTATCTGAAAAATAACTAAAGTGAAAAAGGGCTGGTGTTGTGGTTCAAGTGGTAGAGTGCCTGCTTAGCACTGAGTTCAAACCCCAGTACTGACAAAAACAAAAACAAGGAAGAGTTCAAATCAAGAATCTAAATTTATGCCTTAAAGAACTACAAAAAGGAAGAGCAAGCTAAACCCAAAGCTTGCAGGAGGAAGGAAGCAAAGATTAGAGTATTTGTAAATGCAACTGAAAATAGAAAAAAACAATACTGAGAATCAATGAAGCAGAAAGTAAGGTCTGTAAAAAAAAAGCAATAAAATCCACACCTCCTTAACTAGACTGGGAAAAACAGAGAAGACTTGCATAACTAAAACCATAGGGAAAATGAGGATAGCACACTGACGCCATGTAAATGAGAAGAATTGCCAGAGGACACTGAACCTCTCGTAAAGCAGCAAAGCCGAGGACACCCCTACAAACACACAAAATACAAAGCATGCTGAATTTACTGCTGCTCTTCGTCTACATGTGGCTTCAAATCATCTAGTGCCCTATTTCAGCCTGGATTGGCATTTATTGCTTACTGGCAATGAACTCCCTCTTCTCCCACTTACATGGAAATATCTCCATTTCTCCTTCCCTTTTTTCTTTCATAGTTTCTGAGGATTGAACCCGGGGTCTTGCTCATGCTAGGCAAGTGCTCAACCCCTGAGCTACATCCCCAGCCCTTTTTATTTTATTTTTTTATTTATTATTTTTGTGGTACTGGGGATTGAACTCAGGGCCACCAGCTGTTCTTTTTTGTTTGTTTGTTTTTGAGATAGTCTCATAAACTATTTGCCTGGGCTGGCTTCGAACCCTGATCCTCGTGATCTCTGCCTCCTGAAATCTTGCTAAGTTTCCTAGATTGGCCTCATACTTTCGATCCTCCTGGCTCAGCCTCCGAGCAGCTGGGAGAACGAGTGAGGGCCATGCACAGCTCCCCTTCATCTGTGGAGTGTGGTTGGACTACGTAGAGACTTCTGGGTGGACAGTTCTTCTTTTGTCACTTGCAGCATGTCTTCCAACCCGTCCTGGCCCTCATGGTTTCAGATGGGAAGTCAGCAGTCAATTTCATCTCTTGCTGCTTTAAAGATTTTCTCTTTGTCTCTTATATTTGGTTACAATGTATCTCTGTGTGGGTCTTTCTGAGTTTATTCTATATGAAGTTCTTTGACCTTGGAAATGTAGATTTGTGTGTTCCATCGTATCTGGGAAGTGTATGAGAATTATTTATTCCTGTATTTTTAATTCTTTCCTATTATAGAACAGAGTGTTTACTATCTTCCTCACTCAAAGTGTAAGTCCAATAATATGAAATCTATTCACAGAGATGAACACCCATCAGAAACATGCAACTTCGGCTTCCCGTCCCCCAGCCCCCACAACCCTGTTCTGCTTCTGCCCCTATAATTTTCCTTTCTCTGCTTGTTTTCTCTCTTCTCTCTCTTTCTGGAGCTCCTGTGAGGTGGAGCTTGTGTGCTTGATGGTGTCCTGCAGGCCAACCAAGCTTTGTTCAATTCGTGCCCTTCTTTGTTTCTGCTCTGCAGATGG